CATACCGACTATTAAAATATGTGTTCGTAATATAAACACCATTGCTTGAGTTTGTACAACATACACTATTAAAATATAGTGTTCGTAATATAAAACACCACTGCTTGAGTCGTACATCATACACTATTAAAATATTTGTTCATAATATAAAACACCATTGCTTGAGTCGTACATCATACACTGTTAAAATATGTGTTCACAATATAAAACACCACTGCTTGAGTCGTACATCATACACTATCAAAATATTTGTTCATAATATAAAACACCATTGCTTGAGTCGTACATCATACACTGTTAAAATATGTGTTCATAATATAAAACACCACTGCTTGAGTCGTACATCATACACTATTGAAATATTTGTTCATAATATAAAACACCACTGCTTGAGTCGTACATCATACACTATTCAAATATTTGTTCGTAATATAAAACACCACTGCTTGAGTCGTACATCATACACTGTTCAAATATTTGTTCGTAATATAAAACACCATTTCTTGAGCCGTACAACATACACTGTTAAAATATGTGTTCGTAATATAAAACACCACTGTATGAGTTGTACATCATACACTATTAAAATATTTGTTCGTAATATAAAACACCACTGCTTGAGTCGTACATCATACACTATTAAAATAGTATGTTCGCAAATGCTGAACGAAATGTTAAGTAGGATGGAATTAGCTTAAGCTGTTTTTATATCTAATACTAACATTGAGCCTAGATTATTTGTCTATAGTTCTGTATGATAACCAAGACTAACTTGCACTGTGTCTTTAGGGTTTACTTATGTTCAGTACCTAATCTTATGAATAGTATTTATTTATATAATTTTATTGTTTTCTTTTCCTAAAAATATAATATATATTTATGCTCAGAAGTTACTAATAATTGATAATAACAATTTAAATCTTCTCCTCAGATGCTTCTTAGAGCAAAATTTATCATTTAAAACCGTTTCTCCATTTTTATGAGGAGTGATACATCAACTGCAAGAAACTATAATTGCTTCCAAGGAACTTACACTATTAATGAAGGCGATATGATAAACATCATACTTCAAAAAGGTTATGATTTAGAAATTATGAAATTCAGTTATCGATAATCTGCTTTTGATTTATTTTTTCCCTTTTGAGCTTCTAAGATATTGTTTTGACTAGGTATTGTTTTTATTTGTTAAAATATTCATTTAAAATTTTAAAATAATGTTTGTGAAGAAAATAAGTTGTGGCCTCGTGATCAAAGATACCGCTTGCACAAATTATTTGTTATCTTGTATCAGTGGAATGTCTGATAGAGAAGATACAGTAGGTTTGAGAACTTTATTTAATGGACTGTAATTGCTTGTTGAATGAAAAGGGGACGACTTTTCGACTTCTGTACTGAGACGAAGAAAACCTCAGTATAGAAGTCGAAACTTCGTCCCCTTTTCATTTAAAAGGCAGTTGTAGTCCATTAATAGCCCCCAGTGGCACAGCGGTATGTCTGCGGACTTACAACGCTAGAATCCGGGTTTTGATACCCGTGGTGGGCAGAGCACAGATAGCCCATTGTGTAGCTTTATGCTTAATTACAAATAAACAAACAGTCCATTCAAGTTTTCAAACCTACCTGTTGTCTTGTATTTGGCAACTATTGTACTGATAATCATTTTTATTTAAAACTTAAGCCTAATAAAGAATTTCTGAAAAAGGCTGTGTTTCGTTCTGGCTTATTTACCTTTAACAATAATGAGAAAAGATGAAATATCTGAAAACATATGTATATATTTCTATTTGAAATATTTCAAAATTATACCAAAAAGGAAACACGTCAACAACATTTGAAGATGATGCGCATGTTGAAACATGATAAGGAAGTGAACTATATGAGGTCGTGATCCCATCCAAACATGCATATTGCCTGATGGTAATATTTAGTCACCACCGACTCAAGGATGAGCATGAAATACCGTTTAACATATCTACATATTTGTCTGTATGACGATATCACCCAACGAATATTTCTAATGGCTTGTAAGAAGTTCTAGTATAAACCAAAACGGTGTGTATTACATACTGTTACGTCTCCGTTTGTTAATTAACTTTCCGTAACTTCGTTCCAATGAAACTTTAGCGACACAAGTCCTTACTTAATAAAACTGGTTTATTCTTTCCGAATATAACTTTACGATACACTTAATTTCAATATTCGCGTTAAAACAAACACTATAACGAAAGAACGTTAACTTCAACAATACGTCTCTCTCTGACTGCAGTTCAATTACTCATTACCTACACACACATTATTCCCTGTCACCCTCTTTTATATACCAGACTACCCTATTTCTAGTAAATACTAGAGCATTCGACAAGGTACAAGATAGTTCTAGAAAATAGGTGGCGCCATACCAGTCACGTGACTCGCTGACGCAACACTGCCCCCTGCTTAATATTGTTCGTCCCGAACAATAACCACATATAATAAACCAATAACAATTAACAATAACTTAATTAACTGTACAGAATTACAAACACAAAGTTACAATTCAACAAAGTCTTAATTTTACGGGACGTATCTTCTTCCGTACTGGTC